GCAACACAATTTGTAGAGTTTGTGAAACTCTGCAGGAATTTTAAATTCTGAGGAAACATCTTTGCGAAGTAGTTTCCTGCATCTTTCAACAAGCCTGGCTGCACGGTGTGATCAACACCTCACTAATGGGCTAAATTTTAAAACAAACTACCTTGTTACTGATGGAAAGGATGAAGAGAAAGAACGCAACTGAGAAAGGGCAATGAAGGACCACTCCCATGACTTTTCAAGCTGCTTTTGTCTTGGACAGTACACTAGTACGAATACCCGCAGTCCTTACCCAAGTTTTCCCAGTGTGAAGCACCTCCAGTACCAGGCTGAGCTTCAGACAACACTTCAGTACCTGCGCTCAGTGCACATGGGGACTAACATACACTTCAGCGATGTGTGCCCACAAAGCATCCAAAGGAACAGCAAATAGCAGCTCCTTACCCATACTACAGGGGGAAGGGAGAAAGTTGTAAGAGAGATTATTTGGAACTGAAAGACTGTTTTTTCTCAAAAAAACTAGGCCAAGAACAATCTGATCTAAATTTCTGTACACAGAAAAAGCAGTGGATGAAACTGGCTCATAACCTCGTACTACCAGCAACGGTGCTGGCTCATCTGCATGTATGGAGCTGGGTGATTTTAATGACAATTCAAGCTCTGGAGTGGAAATATAAAACCTCCTCCAAAGGCCAGATGTGTTTAACTTCCAAGGTTGTGGTTTTGAGTCTCTCTCTTTTCAGGTTGTGGAAATGTCAAGATCAAACTGAAACAGCTCCAGGATTTTCATAGACAGGGGACAAAGAAGCATCCTGCACGTTCAGCATGTTATCCTCAAGAGAATCTCCCTGCAAAAATGGAAGAGCTGACCTGCGAGCCCCACCTCGAACACTACAAGCCCATAGATCTGGGTGTAGCTTCCATGAGCTCTTTTAAGTGTCTCATTGGGGGGGCAATCTCCGAGTCGTGCCCAGCCCTCAAGCACATCCACTACTCAGGCAAATATAGTCCCCCAACATGAGGCAGGAGGGCAATCCAGCTGAGAGCCAAGCTCAGGCAAAGCAAACATCAGCCTTGGCTGGAGGCAAAGGAGAGCTTCCAGCGAGAAGTTTGGAGGTTTCCCCAGGCCACAAAGAGCACAACACATACCAACAGGCAGGAATTTGGCTGCATCTTCCCATCCTTCTTCTGTAACAAGATCTTCAGTGTCATCTTAGCTTTGAGGGACTCAAATCTGCTCTATGCAGCAGCTGAAGTTTAGCTCAGGGCTACTCACTCCCAGAAGTGTCTCTCTAGCTTTCGTCTCATGCAGCCCTGCCCAAACCACTTATAGCAGGCTATGTTTGTGTGCTTGTCTGCCAAAGAGACTCAATCCATCCCAAAATGGCAGCGCCCTTCCATCTCATCTGGTGGCCCAAATCCACCACCACCAAGTCATTGACAGTTTCAGTGTCGGAGCTTTCCCAGTTTGAGTTTTGCTTGCTCTTAGGGAAGTGCTTTAAACCAAGCTCTCTGTGTCCTTTCTACTGATGCTGCTTTCTCCACAGTACCTTGTCTCTGGTCTTTGGTTTGGTAATGACCCAAACTCACTTCACGACAGCAGGAACGGTGGGAGGAGCAAGCGCAGAGTGTTTTCTCTGCCTGTTCTCACAGCTGTGCCTTGCCAGCATGGAAGTATTGCCACTTCTCCGCTCTCCATCCAATTCTCTATGGTGCAGCTGATACAGACATTTAAAGGCATGAAAGGAAATGAAAGCACTCTGTCCCACTGGAAGCCACCAGGAGCTGGGTATCGAACCTTCGTTTGTGCTTTTGGAAGTCTTCCTCCAGGGCTTTAGTGCAGCAGTGAACAACCGGTGTGCAACTTATGCCCTATTCTCCCCTGCTTATTTCACAGCTTCAAGAGAGGCAATAAAACTAGGGACTTCAGCTCAGCCAGTTTTGCCTGATTTGCCAATTTTTGTTGCTGTTCTGTGTTCGAGCATCAAGATTTCTGAAAATGTATTTTTATTTTTATTGTCAGTGTCCCAGCACGTAAATGGGAGCAGAGTGCCACCCTGCCACCTTGCAGGACACCAGCATCAGTGCTGGCTCGTGGCAGAGCTCCCACATAAACCCTCTCATCTGGACCCTCTAGGAACAGGCATTTAAAAAATCATCTGTAAGACAAAAGGGATTACATATATCCAATGGTGTTTGCAGGACACCAGCATCAGTGCTGGCTCGTGGCAGAGCTCCCACATAAACCCTCTCATCTGGACCCTCTAGGAACAGGCATTTAAAAAATCATCTGTAAGACAAAAGGGATTACATATATCCATATATACATATCTTGCAGGTATTGGTTATTTTTTCTTTAATCTTTTAATTTTTCTACTCAAATTACAAAATGCTGTCTGGCTTTTCCAGGTTGTCACAGCTTCTGAGGCTGACACTGTCACTCTATAAGGTGCTGAAAATCTGCCTGTTTAATTACCTCAGTTTCCCTGTTCATAAAAGGAGGATAAGATCTTCTTCCATGTCTCAACTCATTAATATTTGTAAATTGTTCTGAGATTGTGGGACAGTGGAAGTATTTATAGGAATGCAAAATGCCATTTCTATTAGGTGCAAGCTGCCATGCAATCAAAATATACCGAGCATCACAATATGTAGCAAATGGGACATCTTGTTTTACATCAGCCAAGAAATGCTAAGTGGCACTGTGCTTCCTAGTTGCTTATCTTATACTTTTTGCCCTGAAAAACTCATTAAGGAAATGTATTAGGCCCGACTGTGATGTTTAGCCAGAATCGTAATCTCTCTCGAAGTTCCCAGCCCAGAGGGAAAAGGATGTCCATGTGGGGAAATCAAACTCCTCTCCCCACAGCTCTACAAAATGCAGAGCTTTACAACTTTCTGTTGAGAGGGATGTGAACCACAGTTATGGCCCTTCTGCACCTCTGAAAGGAGATTTCCATTCTATGGGTGTATATAAAGAATAGCCTCTGCTCTCAGCCCTTCCAGAGGAGGAGAACATAAGATCCTTTGAATCTCAGCTTTCCTCGGCTGCCTTCTACGGAGTGACCAGGGAGAACTTTTATTGGCTCATTCTCCTACAAATGAATTTATTTTGATTCCTTCCAAAGGGTTGCACAGTCTGTCCTCTTTTCTGTCTGTGAGAGCTTTGTGAGAGGCTGTTTGGACAAGACCGCTGCAATAATTCATGCCATTTGCAGACAATTTGTAAACCCTTACAGTATCCCAGAATGATTCATTATTTTTCTAAGAATATGAAGCAGTGTATGTGTGTGTTTCTGAATATGCATGCTCATGAAGAGTGAAGACAGGCAGCTCCCCTAGGCTCAGAGGCAGGAATAAAGATCAGCACAGATTTCTTCTTTTTCATGTAGGGTTTTTTGTGGTATTTCACATTTTAGGTTTTAAGTGAACCCAAAGCAGAAGGTAGCACTCTTATTTGTTTCCATGTCTCCTACAAGAGACTCTGGAAGAGTCTACCATGTCCCAGAGGTATAACCCTACGTAAATAACTTATTCTAACAATGATCATTGGCTTTGGCTTCAGCCACCCAGGAGAAGAGCAATTAAAGCCATCCCTCATCCTAGATTACAAGGCCTAAACTTAATGTCCATTAAGTTTTCAATACAATTAGTTTTACATAAGCTTTCAAATCAAACAGCACCTTGCTGGTATTTTCTGGATGAACATGCATTAGCCCAAGCAAGTTCAGAACAAGGAATCTACAAATCCTAGGATTTGGAATGATTTCCTAAAAGCTATCTCAAATATTCTCCATAAATACCCATCCAATACAAACTAATCCCAAAGGGAAGGCTCGTGGGAGCAAAAATCAGAACAATTGCTGGAACAAATGTTCAGGATTTGCTTGGGACTGTAGTCCAAGCCCTCTTTTGCAGCAGGATACAAGAAATAAATCCATGTAGGTTTTCCCTAGCTGTACTAAGTCTGGAACCTTTCAGTATAGAGCACCAGAACCTCTTCCCTTTTCACATTATTTATGTTATTGCTGCAGGTGCTAAAAATTACTTGCTCCTTGCTGTTACATGTAGAGTTGGGTGAGAAATGCTACTTGTTTCCCAGTTAAACAATCAGGAATACCATACCAACATGTATTGTGGTGCACGAGAAAAAGAACAGCAATCAAATCCTTTTCATGCTTTTCTTCACTAAATGATTTTCTGGTAACAGTAAAGTTGACAGAGCATTCCTTGGGAGTGACTGGCTGTCAGGAGGACCAGTAGTGAAGAGACTGTTGGTTATAACAAGTTTTAAAAGGGGGTATCCAGCCTTCACCAGGTAAGACATTTTCCTCTCCTTGCGGGCCCCATGATCATCCCCTTTGCTATTATACTCGCATACCAATGGTACCTCCCTCCCTCAAAAGGTTCTGTTCGTATGATTTGTCTGGCTAAGAAAATGCCAGCTGAAAGAATAAATCTGGGGAGGCTGCAAGTACAAACACTCACACAGAAGATTTAAAAAAATTACCCTGTGTGTGCTTGTAGAAACCAGTCTCCCCACAAGTTTAAGAGTCCAAATCCCACATGAAGGGAAAAGAAAGTCATGTGAGAGGTTAAAGAAATTCAAAGCAAACATGAATATTAGCTTTGTTGTATGGTCCTGTAAAACAAGCTGGGTAAAGTTACTCTTTCAGTTGGTTTAGTTGTTAAGCGTAACTTTTCTTGCCATACTGCAGTGATCCTTTTGACTTAAATTTCATCACTATGCATCAGCTTCTGTTGTCTCTCCAGCTTATTGTTGGCATCAGTATTAAGCTGCTCTAGCAGGAGATGTGATTAGCTTGTGTGTTTTTAATCCATGCTTCTGCAGTGAAAAAAACCTCAGATGCATAATACAAATAAAATAATAGTAATAATCCTATACATTCTAAAAAAGTTTCGGGACAGCTGTGCAAAAACAATATTGCAAGCTTTGTGTCTTATGGGATGGGAATGAGGCTGATTCCTTTAAAACACATAATTTATCCTACCTTGCTGGCTTTCAGTATCTCAAACATCAGAGGCAACCCTTGTGTGATGAGCTCCTCTGTGTACTCTTCTTCCTGAATGGACTTGAATTCCTTTAGCAAGCACTGGATGAGGGGTCGTCGGTGCTGCTGGAAGGACGTGCGCAAGGACTCCAGCCATGTGTGCAGCGTCCAGGGAACGCCTACAGACAGAGGACAGAGCTCATTCCTAGCTTTAGAGAAGGATCTGTCCTTCTGGTTTTTTACCTTTAGCTATGTTAATCTGAAGATTTTAAGCAAAAGCTTCCAAATAGCCCTAGAAATCAAATTCCTATTTATCCCTGATTGAGAAGGCTGGTGGTTATCAGGACATCCCAGACCTAATGCACAAGAGGCTCTCCTCCAAATGCTAAAAGACTGTGGTCTCTCTGCTCATCTAGCCTTCAGCTTCTCTGCTGAGACTGCCAATTTGTGGTAATTGCTGTGGTGCTCTGTAATGCAAAAGCCTTTTGGAAACTAGATTTACACTAGCTCATTTGTTTGAATATGGCCCTGGAGAGCCATTAAATAGTAAAAAAAATTATTTTGGTCACTACCCACCTGGATTCAAACTGGTGGTCTTCAGATTAAAACTTTCTTTAAGCACTACCCCATGTCCTCTCCTGATCATTACTATTTTCCCTAAACAGCATTGGGCAAGTTAAGCAGATCAGCCTTTTCAAGCAGTCTGTCGTGGCAGAACCACTCTCCAGGAACTTAAAGGGAACTGCTTCCATGCACTAAGCATGAAAGCACACCGAGCTAATGTATCTCTGCAAGCACTAAGCTGGAGGTGACCTAGTTTCTGCTCTTGCAGAATGGAGTGGGAGGAAACACAAGTCTGGCATTTGGCTACAAAAGGTTTTTCCTTCCACTTCAGCATACGTCCAGCACCTGGAGAGCAGCCCCATTGCTCTCCTCTCCCTCATCACCTGGTGCTTTGCCTGCTCAGCCCACCTGGAGAGCCACCACTCAGCCCACCGCATGCCCTGACCCATGCCGGATGTCTGCAGGGCTGGAGCACTCCAGCGGGCAGAGGCACGCTGGGCACCCACCGGGCACCCAGGTCTCTCTCTGAATGCAGGTTAGCAAGGATGGTAAACACACAGTTCAGACCGATTTCCTTCTGCGCCACCCAGCCACCCTCCCCATGGGCAGAAGCAATTTCCCAACAGGCCAGTATGATGTTCAAGCCACATGTTGGCACAGTTAGCACACCAAGAAGCCAGTTCCCTGCTCCTGTTCTCTGAGGCTTACAAACTTCAGAAAATAAATATGTTTTAATGGTGGAGTGCTTTATGGTGGAGTACAAAAGAAGAGCTGTTGGAGGTGGCCCACAAGAGCTGAACACTGCTCCAGAGCCTTAGCTAATGCTCTGCAAAGCAGAGTGAAGTGGGCTGCTGGTGGAAGCCACTGCATCCTGCAGAAAAGTGCCAGGGGCCCCCGAGTTGGGTACACTGTGGAGACAAAATGGGCTGGGAACAGGCCAGATCCCCCATCACCTTCTACTTCCACAGGGATTGAGGAAGATGCAAGCGTGGGCTGTTTCAGCAACAGCCCGTCAAGGGAAGCATGTTTCTTACAGCAGCCCCTCCCCGGAGGGAGAGGAGAGGGCGCTGGGACTGACCTATGCTCCGTATGTCAATGGTCACATCCACGTAGCCGTGCTCGGCGCTGTGGTACATGGCCTCCTTCAGGGCTTTCAGCTTGGCCTTGCTGTTGCGGCTGGCGCAGAGCGGAGCTGCTGCTGAGTCAGGCAAGTCCGTCCCCTCTGCCAGGATCTCCTCCAGCGACAGAATATCGCTCTTCTCCTTCTCTGGTTGAGCAAGCAGCTTACGAAAGACGTTCCTGTCAATCACAGCACGACAGAGAGAGGGAGATGGGGAAAGAGAGGGTGGGAGAGCAGAATCAGCGGCTAGGCTTTCGTTGTGCTCAGGATACTTGCTGCAACATGGCAAGTTAGGACAACTACCCAAGAGATTACTGCAACTAATGGCAGGACCAGCTGAGAGCAGACCTGAGGCAGTCACTGCTCCTGCTAGCCGACCTGCACTGCCTGGGCCACGTCTGCACGACGCTGCTGTCATAACAGGAACTGTACAGATGTCGCATGATGGCGGCATCTCATGGGAACAGAGACCCATGAGCTAAACATGATTTCAGACTCCTTCCCACGATCAGGAAAGGCTGAGTGAGGTGCCTCTGGACAAGCTCTCAGGACTTTCACCATGGAGGCCACTTGAGAAGGGAGCTGCCTGGAGCTACTGAAAGCACCACCACTCAATTAACACTCAAAGCAGTCTAGGAAAGCTGGTGCAGCTAGACATTCAACGAGGCCAGTCAGGGCAGGTTCAAGCACATCTGGGACTTCTCTGCAAAGCCACTGAACTGGCTGGGCCATCAAATAGCAAAGCCCAAACTCAGAGACTTGGTGCCTTCAGAGTTGTACCAGCGTAACCTCATCATCTCAACAGTCGCTTTTGGCTTCTGCAGCTGTGAGAAGAGAAACCAGGCTGGCTTCCATCCCACCTCCCTTGTACTCCAACATCCTTCCTGTACCTGCTCAAACCCTGGTGTGGGGTGGCATCAGGGCATGGTGTGTCTCAAACAAGTTTGGGGCAGAGAGGGAAGGAGGACGGAGCGTGTGTGAGTGGTGTACAGGTAGGAACATAAGAGCCAGAGCCTGCAACATGCATAGCCAGCAGTCAAGCTGAGGAGAGCCCCAGGTCCTCCTTGGGCACGGGGCTCCCACTCACGCCAGTTGGCAGCAAGGCCAGAGCAGGGAACAAGAGACTCCAATAACCAAACTGTCCTCTCTGTCCCAGGGATCGCTTGCAGGCTCCAGATGGGCAGCATTGTGCGAACCCGCCCTGACATGCCGTTAGCATGTTGTTAGACTGGCAGCTTGTCTCTAAGCAAACAGACGGTAGGTACTGTCTCTAACCTGTATCTATGTTCCTCTGGACGGCTACAATCAGAAAAGTAGGAACGTGAAGATCATAATACTAATCCATTACACTGCAGTCAACTCCTGAGCATTGCGAGATCATGCATGCCAGGTGCTCATTTCATTACTTTTTTTTTTTTTTTAATTCACAGCATACATACAACATTAAGGCACACAGGACTTGCAGTAAACACAGATGCAGAAACTCTGTTCAACAAGAACTAAGGCTGCAGCAGTACAGACACAATCTGCCCCAAACCTGAGAAATACATCAACAAGAAATTCAGAAGGAGTGTCTTTGGCATTCCTTTCTGCCGTCACATCAGCTACCATTTAACAAACATCTCATTGCAACACACCACAAGAAGTGCCCTTCCTTTTTTTTTAAAAAATCTGCTATCAAAAAGCAGCTTGTACCACCAACTGGTTAAATTCACATGCTAGCAAAAAGCCTTACATCTCTGCTCAGTTGGTGGCATGTTCAATTGTTCATGCAGAACTTTCACCTGTCTGCTCAAACCGGACGCCCAGGCAAAAAATAAGTACTTGGAGGATGCCACTAGACTTGTTCCCACTCTACCTGTGTCCATGTGCAGCAGCCTGACTGAAAGAGTTCATGTCACCTTGTGGAGTCATGGAAATGCCGTTCCTGTACATTGTTCCTATCATGGGGTCAGCTCCTCGCTCCAACAGCAAACTGACTAATTCAAAATTTCCTGCAAGTCAAGAGATGCATTTTTACTTCTTTTAAAATCCAGTATTTGCTCACCTAAAGCACAGACCCCACCTGAAGAATTTAATACAGTGGGAGGAGAAAGTCCTTACCAGCAGCTGCTGCCAACTGTAAAGGAGTTTCAGAGTAATTTTCCTCTCCATGCTCCAAGGAACCTTCTACCTTTGCTCCAGCGTCCAGCAACAGCTAGAAAGAAAATTCATCATTTAGAGCAACTGGGGGTATCACAGCCTTCAGAGTTCATGAACAGTGACGAATGAGAGTCTAATGCTTCTTGTTATCTGCAAACCAGATGGAGACAAGTGACATGCAAATTCCGCCCATTGTTTCACAGAGGCGAACTGATTCCTTTTTTCGCTCATTTTATGCTGCCAGACACCAGGAGCACTAGTGTCCAACTTCAGAGCCAAAAAAGTGTAACCCAGTGTTTCTGAATGGGAAATGGGGTAAGGTCAGGGTTAGGAAGTAATGCACTGAAGATGGAAGTACTGAAAATTAGCCCAACAAGCATCCTTCCTTCACAGTCTTCTAGAAGCCCAGTACCACCCTAAAATGGATCAGATTTCAATTGCCTCCATCTTTTATATAAAGACATGGCCAAAAGAAAGGCAGTTCTTAAGAACCAATTGCAGCAATGAGTCCAAAAGCTGTGATCTCCTTCAGGGACACTTCCACATAAATAACAACAATGCTGAAAACAAAAACGGCCAAGGAGAGCATGATGGAGCCTGTGCTCCAGCCCCCTCTTGGCCATTTCTGTCTTAAGGCCTTCACAGTTTTGGCACTTCATTAAGTGTGCCATAGACACAGCTGTTTTGAAGAATAAACCTTCTTGACTTTTGACATGCCAAAGCACAGAACCAGCACATCCCACATGGTACCTCGATGGGGTAAGGAGAGTGAGTGCTTCTCCCCCTTCAGAGCAGCACAAGGGCTGTTGTCCACCTCTCCCCCACCACGGCAGTGGTTTTGTGTTTGCTCAAATATCTCAGTGTAAGAAAGTGTAATGAATGAATAAACAAACATATAAAACAAGTGGTCAGGAAGGAGCACAAGGAGTTGTCAGACTTTCTTTGGTGCAACTTTGCTTTAAAATTGTCCTATTTAAACCCTCATATTGGTTAAGGTTTGAGCACTGTATTCGTTTATATAATAGGTCTATTATATATCAGTACACTCTAGAAGAAGCAGAAATAACCAATATGAGTATGACAAGAGGATACTGGTTTGAGATGGATGCAATTAGAACTGAAGAGGAGAAACAAAAGAATGAGATGCAGGTAGGGAAATACAATAATACCTGAACTACAGGAATATGTCCATGCAACACAGCAAATGTCAGAGCTGTCCAATGGCGGGTCTCAGGGTGGACGGATGGGTATTTATGAGCAGTACTGACAACCTACAAACAAATTAAAGTTATTTTTTAAAGAGCTATACGTAATAAAATTAAACCTGCCTGAAAGCCAGGCATGTGAGGAAGTACGTGAAATAGAAAACCTGGGAAAGGTGCTTTATAAAATAATTGGCTTCATTTTTTTCCTGTGAAAATTTTCTCCATATTAAAACTGTTCATGCTGATTTCACAGCTTAAATAGAGTTCATACCAAATGAAGTCTTTTTACCAACTACTGTAGCTCCATCTAAACCACTGGCCATCAGATACTTTTGCACAAGGTCAAAAACATCCACAGCTGGTTACAGCAGCACACACTGGGGAAGCAGGGACAGATCAGGATGCTTACAGCTAAGGACTGCTCCCACTGACTTCTCCAGACCATGTATCAACCAACAGCCCTGGGTCTTGGGATTGCTCCAGGCCCAAAGAAATTCTTTCCACATAAATCAGTATGACTTTTGTCACTGCCACAAAGTGAGACATCACAAGCCCTACCCTAGGAGTTCACAGATATGCTTCCAGGCTCCTCCTCTCCCACTGAGGTTAAAAAGACAGATGAGAAGTGATGGGGCAGAGCGGCATTTCAGAGCTGTTTTAAGAAAACTCCTTTTTACTGCCTTCTCCTGTCTGAGTTGAGTTAAAAGAGCAGGGTGGCAACAGTGAAAAGAGATGCAAACTACATCCTTAGAAAACAAATTCATATTTTTCACATTGCTCCTTCCATTTTCTATGCTGCAGTGCCTGGTGCCTCTAATGTAGACACTGGGGAAGATGAATAACCACTCTTTGCTTCAGTTTCCCTGTCTTAAAGATGGGGATATTAATATTGATGAGGTTCACAGAGACGGTAAAATCTAATGAACGCTTGCAATCCAAGACTGCACACTCAGATGGTGTGTGACACTAAAGTTCAAAATCTTATTACTGATCTTCAGAGGAAGACTAAAATCAGAGTAGAAGATGCACCATCTCTCTGTCTCATCAACCAGCTATGCTTTCACCGCCTTATCTGAAGTGCTTTTACCCACGTAGGGGAGCAGGGCCAGTCACCAAGTGCTCAGTTGCATTAGCAGCTCGCGTTTCCAAGCGCCACATGCAGTGTTTTGCTGGAAGCACACGACCAGGCCCTCAATCCCAAGGACAGGGGTGCCGGCAAAATCTGAAGAGCCCATGCAGATCCTGTAGCTTGCCAAAGGAGCAGATCTGCACCAGCACCTAGCTGTTATTGCCCAGATTTTCCAAAAATAGAACTCAAAGTGCACCGGTGTCCGAGCATAGGCAGGAGGCTTCCTTGGGTCTGGGTTTGCTCAGAAGGAAGAGGGTCGAGCAGCTCGAGCCTTGGGGTTTAGGCTGGGGAGCAAGAGCAGCAGAGGGTGGGGATGGGCAGGGTCATGGTTCAGTGAACACATCCAACTCCTCCTCCAGCACAGATTCCCACCACTGTTCAGGGCAGCTCATGGCATGTGGCAAAGAAAATGAAGTCATTTTAACTCCTTTGCTCCTTTTTTTTTTTGGTTAGAGTTCTTTCCAGTCAATATGGTGTTTGCAAAAGACCTGCAGCTGACAATGCTTTTAAGGCCTCAGCTGAGATTTGCTGAGCAGCTACAGGTCCCACTGACTCTAGAGAGAATTGCAGCTTCTCAACACATCTGGAAATGAGTCAATTTTCGATAAAGACGGGCAATCAAAAAGGGAGGCACCCAGCATTTGAGGCTACTTTTGGAAACATATATATATAACTGATTTGCAAAGTGAAAGGGGAAAAATGATGCAGGCACCTGATAGAGTATTTATTTTTGTTCATGGTTGATTTGCCTTTTTTTTTTTTTTTTGCTGTAATTGCCCAATTTGCACAGTTGGTTGTGGTGTGCACAAATCATCTTATAATTGCACATCATAATTATTCACAGTTCTTGTCCCAAAGTGTTTTCATTTGATTTTAGAGCAAACACTCTACAGAAATGAATCGGGGAGGTTCACATTCTGCACTGGAGCTGTTCTCTCAAATGTCAGCAGATTCAGGAAGACAAAACTGTTTAAATTTGAATTTGGTTCAAGTCTGGAAGATTACTGGAGCAATTGGGAAGAACTGCTCCTAATGAAATCTTGTCCAAATAATGCCATCTCACCTCTGAGCCACAGCCAGGGTAAAAGGAGAGATCAGTCTCCAGTGCCCATCCAGCCTTTGGTCTGTCTATCGAGAGTGCTAACAAGGGTTCGAGTATTCAATTATTGCCAGCTCTTGAGAGTGGTTTGCTTGAATTTGGGGACAGAAGAGGTAAGAGTGGAACTGAAATCATCAGCTGATTCCACATAAGCCACCAAATGACAATCAGATAGTAATGACTATCAGTCTCTTACAGGTGACATCCATTTCTACTTTTAAATTAGATTTTTTAACAGTGCAAAACGTCTGGCTGAAAGCAGTGACTACAATTTATCAGCTCGCTCAAGTCCAAACAGAACAGATGGAACACAGATAAGTGAAGCAGACAGCTTAATTTACTCATGACCTCAACAAATTGAAACTGGAATCATTAACAAATAATTCTTCTGCGGATTTTCAAACAGCTCTTTAAAAATGTACATACCTGCATTGCACAAAATCCGACCACAATCTGCTTGGTGGACAGATTGTGTAAGTTTGTGATGTGCATTCATCAGAGCCACATTTGTATTCTGGAAGCTTCAAGTTCCTCATCCAACAGTTTTTAGCCCAAAGCACTTTATAAAACAAAACAGTGGATCCTACATTGCACTTGTGTGCTGGGGATGCTTAGCTGGAACATCCCAATGCATAGAAATGCTCAAGCATTGGCAGGTTATCAGATGGGTATTTCTTTCACCCTCTTCATTTTAACTCAGCTGAGATTCAGGGAGTCCTTCCAATACCATTAGAGCTGTGCTCCGTGCTAGTGCTAATGCCTGTATTCATTTGCAGTGTCCAAACACAACTAAATCAATATTACCTGTGGGGTAAGTCCGATGCCTTGGCCTCTTCTGTGCAGTGAATCCCAATGTCAACCTAATGCAGTTGGATTTCACTATTCATTTCAAGTGGTGTCATCCAAGGTAAAACAAATTTATTTTCTTTTTAATCCTTGGGATTTTCCCTCCACTACAGTTTCAGGGGGTAGTTTAAGATGTAAACAAATAACAGAACAACGATACAACCAACAAAAAGTCCTCACCTCAGCATTCAGATCTGCTCCAGCATCTAGCAGCATCTGCACCATAGCCTCATCACCCCTGACACAAGCATACATCAGTGGAGTCATGCCCTAGTCATTTTTTGGAGTTAAAAAACAAAGGAATTGATAAATTTAACACAGAATGCTCTTTGATTTTTCAAACAATTATTTAAGTACATATCATCAAGACTAACAGTACGTATTTAACGAAAGCCATTACCTCTGTTACAGACACGCCCCTCAGACCAGCAAAAGCCAACCGTTTTTGTAAAATCTCCATTTTTGTTGTCCTTGGGTTGGCTGTTTTTTATTCATGTTATCCTTGGCATCCTCAGCATTGTGAGTAAAACTAGGCTCGTGAGCCTCACCTCCATCTTCATATACTAAACTCAGCATCTTAAGTCTTTGGGGCCCCAGCAGAGAAATGCTTTTATTAAAGCAACTGTATTTCCATGGGTATTTTAAAAAGAAAGTAATTCTATGATCACAGTTTCATAAAATCTAACTTTTTAATTACCAAATGAGCCTTTAAAAATGTCTCAAGCTCCTCTTAAGATAGGTTACATTGAGGCACAGCTTTTTCAATGCAGATACCATAAAGGGATGGAAAGTTAAAGCCTTTGTATACCACTCCCTACCAAACAAGGATTTAATTTTAAATGAAATGCCAGACAGCATTGTTACAAGTTGCTGGCTCTAGGAAATCATGTCCCTGTTTGGAGGAAAAGTAGATTAAGTGACCCTTCACTACAGAACCACCACAATGCAATTTGTATTAATCTGAAATACCTGCTGCGGCTGATCACAATTTCCCTTAAGTATTACTGTGGCTGTAGTAATGAGTCCTGATTAAACCATGAAAATCTACTTTAAATTATAACAGAAAAAGTTGCTTATTAAATATAGTAGGGGTGTTGATCAACAGCCACCAGTTGTTTCGCAGTAAATCTACCACAGGACACAGCCACCTCTAATGCATGTTTATAGCCTACCTCGAGGTCCTCTGGTAAATCTGCTGTCAGACAATAGCCCATTTGCTGTTTAACCTCAGTGCTGCCATGAAGTGAAATTATTTTCAGAGAAACTGGAGATGCCCAGCACGGCCAGACACAGAGACATGACACTGCTCTTCCTAGCAAGAGCCCAACACTACTATTTTTCCTGAACTACCCCATTTTTCCTGTTTGCATGCAGGGCTAGAGGTAGTGGGTGCTTATGTATGGAAGGGTTGCCCTTGCAGAGAAAATATAAATTAAGGTTTGTCCCTGCAAGGTACTTAAGAGTCCACTTGAAATACATTGAGCATATCACAGGATCAAATCCGCAGCGTACTTCTGGAGACACGGAGGAAGGGAATAGGCATCTGGGGCCTCATGCCATTACCAAGAAAAAACCAAGTTCACCCCAGGCAAGGAGAGCTCTTGGGTGACTTGAAGTTACTTGCAAAGAGAACTTTAAACTACTTCAGCTACAGTCAGTAGCAAAACATTTCCTTTGGCAGTCAACGAACGCTACAGGAACAAACAGGACCATGAGAATTACAAAAACTGCATCTGGGCCTTGAAACATGGGGACAAGATGGCAGCTTAAAATTAAATACATGTTCTTTCAACTATTATTTCAATTTCTCCAAGTGGTGTCATTCGATAATTAAATCAAGCGTTTAGCACAAGGGGTCTAATCAGACCTGAAGAATTTGAGAACCCCACGCTCACGCTCGCGCTCGCCCCAGCAAGACGCAGCATGTGGGCAGCCATGGCGAGGAACCCCGCAGGAACCTCCAGAGCGGAGGGCCCGCCTGGCGACCACACGGGATATTTTGGCCCTGCTGACACTGAAGAGGGTCTTCAGCGGGGACTAAAAGGGGCCCAGAATGTCATGCTGCAGTGTCAGGGTTTTAAAGAGTTAATGAGGTTTCTAACCTCCTCTCTCCTTGCACCGCTGTCCCTGAGGCTTTCGCCTCTGCCAGTCCCCCCCCGGCTTGCTCTGCAGCTCAGCCCGTGCTGCAGCATCGCTCAGCCCCGCTTTCTTTGCCCAGGGGAGGAGTGGGTTTTTAATGAGCCCATCGGTAGTGTTTGACACACAGACACACAGGAACACGGTAACAATGTGTACCATCCACGCAAAGGGCTTCTGGCAAAATAAAAAAATTACTCTCTCTCTTCCAGCCTTGTATCACTTCGGGCTCTGTCCTGCAGGATGTGGGATCCTACCAGATGTGGGATGTTTGATCCGGCAAAGTATTTAAGCACAGGCTTAACTTTCACTCAAGCAGGATGTAAGCATGTGTTCAGAGTTAAGCATATGATTAGGTACTTCGACGAATCAAGCCAGAGTGTTCCCAGTTTTCAGCCTGGAGGACAGAGGAAACACGCTGTGAAAAGTTTCCAGGTTCAGACTAACTTAAAATAATAATAATTTTAAAAAGTATACGGTATGAACCTTGGAATGAGCTCTCTGATACAGGTTTTTTTGGGGGGAGCACTGCCCTCTTCTAAAGCTTTTCTCAAACGAATCCACAATATTGGCTCAGACTGAAGCTAGAACAGCAACGTAACTCGCATTCCCGGAGCAGCTTTCATCTCAGAAGACCTACACCCACTTACAACCCAGCTCCTGTCCCACGCGACCACCTCAGGGGTAGCAGCCACCTGCCTTCTGCCAAAGGGGATGCCAGAGCTCTGCGAACGTGCAGTGACACTTTCACCACGGGCACCAAAAAATTAAGGGAACTCCATTTCAAAAGAAAATGGTAGCATCCATTGCCATCATTTCCCTCTGGGAAGAGGGAATGACCTTGCTGAGCATCATAGTCCAACAGACTGCTGCTGGTAGGCAACCGCAGAGGCGGGTTTATCCCCAGACACAACTACCAGCCTTGTGGAGATGTAACTCCAGGGAAATTTCGTCTCCTCAGTTGGTGGATGTTGGCCACAATGACTAACAGAGGGGTAACACTGCAGAGAGATTTTCACATCTGTAAGGTCAGTTCTAACTGGGATCAACTCAAAGAGTGCTGGTGATTACCCGCTTCCTGCCGAGGTTTGGTGGTGCATGTGAAATGCCTTGCAGATCCCAGGACAGTGTTCAGCGGAAGGACATTCACCTCACAAAGCCCTGCCCCACAACACTGTTCATGGCATTAAAGCTGTTTTAAGTATCAGAATCAACACTAAGCTCTCTTGGGATCTTCTTTTGGCTTCACCCAACTCAGTTGACTGTTAAGAAGACTGAAGGGGACAGATTCGCCCTCATGCTGAATTACCTCAGTACCAATGAATCAATACAACTCAAAAAGACCAAACTTAATGTATATGTTCACCTGGCGGTGCTTTAACTCAATGCTAAGTAATGCAGGGAAAGCATTAAGGTCCTGCCTATGTTTAGCTGGAAGCTGGGGCTCATGTTCTTTGATAAGCAGAAAAAACTCTCACATTTCACTGTTGCTTCTTTACGTTTCTATCTCGTTACCTGTTCACTCATGCTGTTAATCCCATCCGGCCCCAGCAAGGATATGGCTTGTTTAACCAGATCCGTTCGGCCACAGTTGAGCATCCGGAAACCCAGGTCCTGCTTGAACTTCGCTTCAGTGGCAACTGCATCCAGCTTCCGAGATGCACAAAAACAGTCGTCGATTCTGTGGACATGAGAAATAAGCTCGCTCAGAGGACAATCAGAGGACAGACCTCGCTGTTCCTAGGAAAATAATACTTTGCCCTATCTTTGAAGGACGTAGTTCATGTACGCATTCATTCACCTTTGACCTGTATGTCCAAGGGAAGGACTGAATGGAAAATGCTAATGCAAGCTAATGGAGATTGCCCTTGGTCTATCTTTCATGGGACAAGTTACACATTTTATAAAATACTGGGGAAAAAAAAGCACAGCTGTCACTTGTTTTTGTTTCCCTGTTTAAGCAATGCACAACACATTCCCATTGCAAGCTCTCTCTGCATGGAGAGGCTATCCGGTCGCCCGATCTCTGAAAAGTTTCAGTAGCTTCGATAAGGTTTGAACTTACATCAAGTGGATATATAATCATTGACAATACAACAAAGAGAAAATAATGTCACTCCAAATGCCTTCAAGGATCTTACCAGCTCAGCCCCAGTAACAGGAAAGCCTTTTTGGAGCAGAAAGGACAAGCTGCAGAATCCCGGACTGGCTGAGATTGGAAGGGACCTCTGTAGGTCATTTGGTCCAACCCCCCTGCTCAAGCAGAGCCACCTGCAGACAAGCAGGGCACCATCTGATCCGGGAGGAGAAGGCAATCTTGCCAAGTAATTGTGGCAAAACACCATGAATTCTTATTGGCTGTGCATAACAGATGGGATGTCATTCTTTTAAGGTCTTATTCAAAAGATCCCCAAACTGTAAACTGCTCAAAATATCCATTTCAAATGGAAGAAGGGCTAGGAGTTATTTAGCCAAGATGTGAATCTACAGCTCCAGAGAGAGCCAGGCAATTCCAATCTGATGTTTATCCAAGTCGGTTTCATCTTATTAAAAGATAGATTTGCTTTTCTTTCATGCTGAGGAGTGTCTGGGGAGAGGGTGGAGTCCCAATCCACAGTGCTTTTGGTGTGAACTATGGATAAAGGACTGTGTGGAAAAACATCTCTTTCATTCTCCAAAAATGCTAGGTCAGAAAATGAGGGCTACTTACGAATGAAAAACAAAATAAAGATCAAAAGTGAGAAAGTCAAACATACATCAAATATTTGTTTTCTATTTCATATGTAAAAAAAGGCAGCAAACCAGAAGAAAAATATAAACAGCACATCATTATCATTTGAATTTCTTCTTCAAAGTGCTTTATCGGAGCTTTATAAAATATATAACACTGCTTAATATTTAACAGCAGTATGCAACAAATATGCTGTTTATATAAAAGCAGGTGTA